TGTACAATTGTTATTAAGGTGTAGTAAGAGTTTTCTTGTTGAGCTGTCAGCTCACCCTCTATTTAACATTTCAGGTAAGGCACCTATGGAGCAGAATTGATGTTATGATAAGCATCTTTGTTATTGGTTTTAGTTGATTTCTTTTGTATGCAAGATATTATTGAGTGGAATAATGTAATTATTGGAATTTGTTTCCTTGTAATTCAAATGGAATGCCTTAACTTTTGCTTATATGTACGGTTGTTTTAATCCAGTTAATAAAGTCAGTTATTTGTTATTTTGCTGGATGATGAGATTTAAGTTTTTTTTATTTTTGATAAGTAAGAATTGTATAAAAAACACTCAAAAGGGGAGCGCATCCCAAGGAACAACAAGAAGCAAGAACCACTAAGCCTTCAAAGAGGCCAAAAAATCTACAATGTCCTCAATATATCTATAATCTCTACCCGAAACCCAACAAAAAAGAGTGGAAACAATGGAGAATTTCAGAACAGATATAGGTGACTCTTTCCCTCAAAATATCTCCTGTTTCTCTCAAGCCAAATGCACCACCAAATACAAAGAGGCGTAGCCCTCCATGCGTCTCGAATGTGAGCCCCCACAGAACAGCCTTTCCAAGCCTCAATCAAACCTCTAGAAGAGTCAGGCATGACCCACAGAAAACCAAACAGGCCAAGCATCAAATCCCAACAATCCTTGGCCAAAGGACAATGCAAAAAAAGATGGTCCACTGACTCTTCATCCTCACGGCGCATATAACACCGATTAACCACCACCTGATTCCTTCTTCTCAAATTATCCTGAGTCAAAATCTTTCCCAAAACAGAGGTCCAAGCCAAAAAGGCCACCTTATGAGGAGCCTTAGAATGCCAAACTGCCTTCCACGGGAAAGGACCTTCAGGCTCTTGAGAGAGACACCTAAAGAAAGACCGCACCTCAAAGCGACCCTGAGCATTGGGAGCCCAAATCCAAACATCAGAATCACCGACCATAACACCCTGCCGATACAACAACTCCAAAAGCAGATGGTATCGTCAACTTCCCAGTCCTGAAACAGACGCCTAAATCGAACATCCCAAACCAATCTCCCACTATCAATATGATAACAGTTGATCACCCTGGCCTGCCTATCCGAAGCAATCCTGAACAGACGAGGGAAAGTAAGAGCAAGATGGATGTCCCCACACTAGACATCCTTCCAAAAACTAATCCGCCTACCATCCCTGAGACGAAACCGAACATGATTGGAAAAATTAGCCCAGCCCTGTCGAATAAACTTCCAAACCACCACACCCCTAGGACCACGCACCTCAAGAGAGCACCACCCTCCTATACTCTCCCTAAATCTGCTCACCACGACCCTCCTCCAAAGCCAATGCCTCTCCACCCCAAACCTCCATAACCATTTCCCAAGGAGAGCTTTATTGAAAGGCACCAATCTTTTAAGCCCCAACCCTCCATTCTGAATCGGCTTACAAACTTGCTCCCAACGAACTAGGTGAAACTTGAACCCCACCCCCCAATCCCCCCAACAAAAAAAATTGCGCTGCAAACGCTCAATCCTCTTCGCCACCGAGGAGGGAATCTGGAACAAAGAAATAAAATAGGTGGGAAGACTAGAAATGGTATCAGAGTCACCCGCCCCCCTTTGGAAAGATACTGCTTCTTCCACCCCGCCAACCGCCTCTCAAACCTATCCACGACTGGATCCCAAACCCCCACACATCTCGAAGGAGCACCAAGGGGCAACCCTAGATAAGAAATGGGAAAAGAGCCTCTACGGCATCCAAGAATGCTCGTAAGGAACCCGATGCCAGGGACCTCACCGACTGGAACCAAAACACTTTTTCCAACATTCACCTTAAGGCCGGACACAACTTGGAACCAAATCAATACACATTTAAGATATCTGAGCTGGGACACATCTGCATCACACAGAACCAAAGTATCATCTGCAAACATCAAGTGCGAAATCTCCAACTGACTAGCAATATACCTGCCCACCCGGAAACCGCTCAGAAAACCCAACTCCACGGCCCTCCTCATCAACCTGCTGAGGGCTTCCATCACAAAAAGGAACAAAAAAAGGGAAAGCGGATCTCCCTGCCTCAACCCCCTCGACCTAGAGAAAAAACCCAACGGAGCTCCATTCACAAGCACAGAGAAACAAGCACTGGAAATACAAAATTCCTCCATCGCACTCCAAACCCCATCCTCTCCATCAGATAAAGAAGGAAGCTCCAACTCACATGGTCGTATGCCTTCTCGATGTCCAACTTACACAGAACACCTGGAACCCACTGTGCAATCTGGCATAAACACACTCACTAGCAATAAGAACTGAGTCCAGAATCTGACGACCTCCCACAAAGGCATTCTGAGAGTCAGAATGACTCCATCCAACACCTTCCTCAATTTATTAGCAAGAACTTTGGCAATCAACTTATAAATGCATCCCACCAAACTTATAGGGCGAAAATCCTTAACATCCAGCGCCCCCCCTTTTTTGGGAATAAAGGCAATGAAAGTGGCATTCAAGCTCTTTTCAAAAGAGCCCCGAGTGTGGAAAGCATGAAATGTGCCCATCACTTCCCCTTTAACCACCTCCCAGCACTCCAGAAGAAATCTCATAGTAAACCCATCAGGACCTGGGGCTTTATCCCCGTTACAGCTCTTCAACGCAACCAACACTTCCTCTTCAGAAAAAGACACCTCCAGACCAGAGCCCTCCTCACTAGAGATAGAATCAAATTGGAGCCCCTCAAGCAAAGGTCTCCACCCAACAGACTCTGTGAAAAGCTTCACATAGAAGTCAACGATACCCTTGCAAATCTCATCCTCCTTGCAAAATAACTCTCCTTCCACCCAAATCCTACCAATATGATTGCCCCTGCAATGGGCGTTGACCAAGCGATAGAAAAATTTCGTATTCCTGTCACCTTCCTTGAGCCACAGAGCACGAGACTTTCATCTCCACAAAATCTCCTCCATAATAGCAATCTCAGCAAATTCCGCCTGACATTCCACCCTCCTAGCCTTCAGGGAGTCCGCTATGACCCCCTGACCTTCCATCCGGTCAATATCAGCAATCCCAGAAAAGACTTGATTCTTCCTCCAGATAAGATTCCCGAAAACCTCCTTGTTCCAAATCTTGATGTCTTCCTTAAGAAGACGCAAGTGAACCGTGAGCAAATGGCTTGGGGTACCGTCCCCCCCAAATCCATCCCACCAAACTCGAACCCTATCCAGAAAACCCTCAGCACGAAGCCACATATTCTCGAATCTGAATGGAGATCGTCTTCTACGCAACCCACCACAATCCAACATCAACGGAACATGGTCAGAAATAGGGCGAGCCAAAGTAGCCTGAACAACATCAGCAAACTTCTCCTCCCAGTCTCCCGACACAAGGAATCTATCGAGCCGAGAGAAGGTAGGAGGAGAGCGTCCACTAGACCAAGTAAAAGGCCCTCCCTCCAAAGGCAAGTCAACCAACCCAGAAGCATCAATGAAAGCCGAAAAAGACTCCATGTCCACCTTCCCGTCGATCTCTCAAAAGGGGAGCGAATAACATTGAAATCACCCCTAATACACCACAGCAGCAACCAATGCCCGCCACGAACCCCTAGCTCCTCCCATAACATCAGCCTTGCCAGATCATCCGTGGGCCCATACACACCCGAAAAGACCCAATGGAAACCATCCTCCACCATAGAGAACACACATGAAATAGAGAAATTCCCAATCCGAGAATCCACCAAAGACACCCATCTGCTATCCCACAAAACAATAACCAAAAGAAAAATGCGTCCTTGGACATGCACATGCATAACACACACATAATCTGGTGCTATAAATCAACATGGAGGAGAGTAGCCTGGAAGCTAAACTGCAAGTGTCTGCCCAAAAAATGAAATCAATAGGCTAGAGGCCCAAAAGTTATCAGAAAATTCATGTATGTATATATATATATATATATATTTTGTGGAATCCATGCCATAGTAACATCTAGTTCCACATCCTATATTGGTTATTCATGTAACCGTTCTAAGTGAGATATATTTCTGGCAAAGGAAAAATAGACCCCTCCGTTTCTCAACAAATTCAACAAAAGGCTGTCTGGGTAACCCCTAATAAGTGCTGAAAACTAAAAAAATCCTATGGTTTCCCAATTAAATAAACTCGATAGCACATAATTAGTTAACACTTGAAATAATTCACTTGAGACTTGAATTTTCAATTATCAGTTAACAAGCTTGCAGAAAGGAAGTTTCAAAATTAAATTTGAATTTATAAACGTATCCTCGAAAACTATTTCAACTTAGAGTCTTTAGGATTGGTAATTTAACACTAAAATTTCCTGAAACAAATTTTAGGCTTATATCCAACAGCTTCAAAAAGATGAGAAAACTTGGGGAAAAAAAAAAAAAAAACACTCAAGCCTGTGATCTTTACACAGCCTGTCCCAAGCCAGGATAAAGGAGGGGGTTGTGTCAGGTAGCTTGAGCCTGGCGTGAAAATTTGTCATGACCAATATGAACATGAATAGGCCGACGCCAAGTAATTCCGCGGATTCAAATCAATTACAACCTACTCTTCTTATCGAACAAAACCATCAAAGTTCCTGTCAAAGTTCCTCTGCAGCGAGCCAAAAGGTTTGCCGGGAAAAGGCTTGGTTGTTGTCGTTGTTGTCACGGAAAAAGAAAAAATATCATGCAAGCTAAGCTCAGTCAGTCATGGAGAAAGTGAGACATGTATTCAAGCAGACAGACTCAGTTCTTCCCATCCCCTATTTTCCACTTCCAAGACACACACCCATGTGCGTGCACAAACCAAAAAACAAGTTGAGCTGGATTTAACATTATGCCGCTACGTGGCATGAAATTTTTTTGCAGTTCAATGGGGTATGTATCCAAGAAAACCATTACGCCTATAGAAAAAGCATAGATGAGGCACCTAAAATAATCAGAAAATAGATCATGTTCAAAGAATTTCAATACCTGTGATTGGTTAATGGTGTTTCTGATGTTGTCGCCTCTTTATTCTGCACCAAGGAAAATAAAAGGTAATTGGTAGTAAAGCTACTGAGGCTATGGAAATGCAATGCAAAGGAAAAGAAAATTAAAAAATAAAACGATAAAGAAAAACTTAATGCATATGTTATTTATCGATTTATGTTACATGGATTCAAGTATGTGTATGGGTGTGGGTGTGTAGGCATCAAACCGCCATAAATTCCAAATCTCTTGGCTGAAATGTGTCTAAATGTCACATGTAGTTATGTAGACACACCCAGCACATTTAATTTAAATACATTATATATTACAGTTATATGTTATATAAAAAAGTAGTATATGATATTATTATTCTTTAAGAATATATTCAATTAGAATTTATATTAAATGGAATGATGTGAAAAAAGAGGGGGATCTTCATCTATTTGCAAAACAATCTTCAATCAAACTTGAAATTTTTTTCTTCCACCATTATCACGTCTATTGGATTGACTCATTTGTATTCATGTGCCAAACACATATTCTAAACTCATACCAATGTTGTCTCATGTCAACAACAGTACAGTGAGGGGAACAAAAGAATTAAAAACATATATATATATATATATATATATATATATATATATATATAAAATAATGATTGGCATGTACCACCATTCGCTCCCGGTGCTCAGCAAGCAGAATTAGATCCCTGATACACAACTTCTGGAGGTCAATTTCATCCTCTGGAGTTTCCAGCAAAACCTTGTCCACTATAAAACAGAAGGTTGTTTAACAAGTAGCTGAAAAAATTCATCATGCCAGTCAAATTTAACACCGAGGAACTGAAGTTACCTCGCCTTTTATTTCGCCGAGTAGAGTGAGAGAACCTTTTAGGAGGCTCTTTTGTAGATTGAACTGTTACTTCATGGGCCTTGTTACGTTTTCGAACAGGCTTATCTTTCTCGGCAACAGGTCTCTTGGACTTTCTTGGCAATCTTTTATTTCGGGGTTCATTTTCCACGTGATATGCAGTGTCATTGTCTACAACAGAAACACTAGGACACTCTGCAGGGAAGTCCGCATAATCATGACCCTCATCCTCAGACTCATCAACAAGTTCACATGCATTGATCTGCTTTCTCAACCGCCTCACTGTTCTGCGGACTTCATTCTCTTGAACAGATGTGGAAACATTTTGATGTTCCAATGAAAGATCTGATATCGCATTAGTTTTTCTTTTTCTATGCTTAGCCCTCTGAATAACCTAACTCAAATTTATTGTTTATAAGAAAAAAGAAACACATCCAAAAAAAAAAAAAAAAAGGCTAGGATCAGATAAACACAAATAAACAGAAGTTGTTCGTGTTAAACAAAAAGTACCACAAAAGTCAAATGTCATACAACTTCTCCAGGCATTTCAGGAACAGTCTCCATTTGTTGTCCAGGGTTGTCAGCGTCTGATTGAGAAGTCCCAATAATATTTGTTGGTTCTTCATTCACTGTGAGTTCAGATGTAGGATCCGTGGGAATATCACCAAACCTCAATGAGGAGAAATCAACAACATGGTCAGGTGGGAATGCAGGGATTGAGATCTCATCAATGCATTCAACTTCAGAATGAACCAACTGAGAATCCTGGGGACATGAAATGCACTCAACTGCATCTTGATCAGAGATGCTAGCTCTCGATTTCTCCTTATCAATGTGTACCTTGGGCTTAGGTTGAAACTTGCCAGTCCGCCATCCTGCAATCAAGACGGCCTCAGTAAGAAATTCACCACAGCTAAATAGAAGCAAAACAAACAATCAAGAATGGTGAAATTTGCATATACCTGAGCTAGTGGTTAACTTGGACATAATATCTAGCTTATCCAGGCAAGGAAACACCTCCATATCCTGAAACTAACCGAAGTTCAAACCGAATTAACCCCATAACTATCTTTAATGAGATAATAGAATGGCTATAATTTAAAAGAACAAGAACAAGAAGAAACAAAAATAATCACCTCTGTTTCCAACCTTCGATCATCTACATAAAAATCTCCACCGCTATTAGAAACAGCAGCTTCTTCACAGGATCTAGGAGCTAGGCCCATGGAAATTTCAGAACAGGTGGGAGCTGGGGCAGCATTATATGCCCTAGAGGTTGAGACATCAAAGGAAGAAACCGCGGGAATAACAAGTCCCTCTTCTGTGTTTCTGGTATCAGAAACATTAAAATTTGTCATCTTTGAAGACACAACAGAATCTTCTGCCTCTGCATTTACAGTACAGGGCGTTGAGAAATTGTTCTTTAGTTCAGCATCCATGTCCATCTTAGGTGGAGACCTATTTGCAGTGCTCACTGCCAATGTAATACAAAAAGTAGTCAATAAATTCAAGCAAGGCGAAGAAATCTAACAACAGGTTAAAAGGCATTAGCTACTCACCTGTTCCCGTTGTAGATTGAGAAAAAAAATCATTAAAAGATTCCAACCCAAAAAAAAACCCAGAATGCCAATCTCCATTGGTTTCAGGCATTACAGAGTGTGATTGCAAACCATCTACGGGGTCCACACTCTCTCTAACGACAACATATTCTAATGAGGGGTTCACTGATTCAGAGCTTTTATTGTCATCGGAAGAATGAACTCCTGACAAAGAATCTTTACAGTTTCCCAGTGGTTCTTTAGTCCTGAGAGCCTCTGAGGTAGACAAAGATGAATACAGATCAGTTGATCCATTCTCCACAACATCAACAGTCTGAACTAATTGTGTGGAAGTGACTGACACGGATGAACCATTTCTTGGTCGGGGTTTGGCCTTAGGTTGAAATTTGCCACCAGCCCTAGCTGCAACAGCATTTAATATCAACAATTCAGTCCTTTGAAGCAAGAACAGCCCGTCATATACAACAAGTTGACAATAGTTTGAAATCATTACATACCAATCTTCGTAGCAGGATCAGGAAGGATATCATCAAAAGGGTCCAAATCAAACGCCATTGGGACTGCCTCAACCTAAATGGAAGTTCTGGTTCAAAAAGAACTAAAATTTTATGTAGATGCAATACTATAAAAGAGAACTACAAATCTTCAAAAAGTTTCTTGCCAATTCTCCAAAGCTAGAAAAACAATCTCCTCCATCATGTCATTACAACATCCGAATGCATATTATTTGAAAAGACCACAACCTATGCCTGCCACAGCTATATTTTCAAATAAATTTTTAATAGAACTTGCCAGAAGCAATGTCCATTTACACAAATAACTAACTTATCAAAAATAATAATAATAACACAAATAACAGAAGAAGAAAAAGCAAAGGAGCAAAAGTTGATGTACAACATTGAGAACTAATTGGTAAATATTCATTTGTTGATATTCCACATTGAGAACTTACTCGCTGATAAACTACACATAAACTCATCCCCCACCCCCCCAAAAAAAAAAAAAAAATTGAATTCACTTTTGTAAATGAGGAAAAATAAGATGTAGAAGAATGTGAAAGTTGATGTTCTCCTTAATCTTAATCACCTTTTGTGTTACAAAATTTTTATAATACTATGTAAAAGTTGGTGTTCTGAGAACATATGTATCATATTCTATATCATGCGTATTGAAAAATGAATTTAGGACAAGATTATTGAGTGATCTCAAAAGCATAAAATGAAACATCTGATTGAATAACAAGAATCAAACAAATCGTTGATTTATAAATATGCAAAATTCTGTATAAATTGGGAACACCAATTAAAATGAATGAAACAAACAAAAGAGTAAAATCTATTCTGAAGTGATGAGTGATATAAAGAATAAAGAACATCCTTATACCTGTAAATCTCTGATTGATTAAGAAGAAATATGCAAGTATTTCGCACTTCGGAGAATTTTCAAACAGGTGATAGATATAGAACGATATGCGACGGCAAGATGTGACTCAATGCAAAAGTGAACAGTATGTTGTTAGCTAACTTCTAAATTTTGCTCCATCTTGTAGGCCACTTAGAAGTCCCTTGCACATTTGCAAACACAAAATGACCACTACCAAGATGCCTCATTATCAAAAAGCACCCCTACAATATATAGCCGGTAAGAGTTTCGATAATATTTTGCTAATAAGCAAAGCATTTAATTGATAGAAATGTAGACACAACTAACTACAAGCAGGGTAATATGTGTTGAAAACTTGCCGGATACACCTGTTTGGCTCAAAGTGTGGCCCAGGGGCTTACTTGTAATTTTATGGGTTGAGGGCGTGGCAAGACCGTTTGGTCCAGATTTGCAGCTTAGCTGGCTAAAGCCAATGCGCCAAGCTAATGAGAGCCAAGCAAATATTCCTGATGCTACCGCCGTGGATGGCCTTAAGAAATGCCCTATCTGACTTGCGATTGTGGAGAGCAAGAATGACTCTCTCACTGATTTGTTTACTTCAGTCCTAACTGGAGGACTCTGTCCATTTTTTAAATGAGTTGGTTACGGAGGAAAGTGTTATACCATGAAACGAGCAAACAACAATACCTTTAAGCAAAAAGTAACTTTCACCTCATTAACTTTGAAACAGTACAATGAGCATCAGTTACAATCTATCAGACTCGTGGGCTAAGGATTACAGATTACACTAACGAAAGCACATAAATGAGAGTGAAGGAAACTTAAGAGATACTGATTACACTATGGAAGCATGTAAAGTGCAATGAAGAAAAGCTATAAGCTACGCTGTAAAAGAAACTATATACGGAAGGCTTGGAGCTCAAGGATGCAAGTATGGAAACAAGTGTTTTAGTGCAGGGTGCCAGGGACACCTCCATGAGATCTATTTATAGTAGAGGAGAAGCAAGGTCCATGACTGGATGAATGCCACGTGAACGGCCATGATGGAGGTCAGTGATAGTAAGATATTTTCCCACGTGAGGATATGGTTGTGGTAGACATGGATTGGATGTTTCGGGTGAAGCTGCACCCAATGTAATGACTTGGAGTTGCAATGCTTAACATTTTTCATTTTTTTTTTTTTTTTTTTTAAGGTAAGAAAGATTTTATAAAAAGGCTCAAAAGGGGAGCGCTCCCAAATAAGACGACCGCCATCAATAACAACACTATAGCTTTAACCTATCAACAAAATCCAAAAGACAATCCATTGACATACAATCCCGCCCATTTACCCAAAAGAATAAAGAAGAAAGTATACTATACTCAAGAGCCCAAATAGGAGACTCCACTCCCTCAAAGTATCTCCTATTTCTCTCACGCCACAAACCCAATCATATACACAGGGGAGTAGCCCTCCAAGCATCTCTAACTCGGCTCTCCACTGTACACCCTCTCCAAGTCTCTAGCAAGTCGACCGTAGATTCTGAGAACACCCATGGAATACCAAACGCAACCAAAAACAAAGACCAAACCTCCCTTGCCACTGAGCAATGAATGAGAAGATGGTTGACAGATTCCCCCATCTTCTTACACATGTAGCACCTGTTAACCACAAATTAACTTCTTCTTCCAAGATTATCAATAGTGAGGATGCTTCCCAAAGTAGCTGTCCACGAGAAAAAAACCACCTTCAGTGATGCTTTCGTCCTCCAAATAGCTTTCCAAGGAAAAGCGGACCAGGAAGCTCCACCATACTAAAATAGAATGACTTGACCTCAAACACCCCTCTCAAGGAACCCACCCACACCATCTCATCCATGCCCACCCCGACCACCACCTGGCTATAGATGAAAGCAAGAAAATCTGTAACCTCCAATAGTTCCCAATCATGGAACTGTCTACGGAACTGCATATCCCAAGTCACCCTTCCATTATCAAGGCAATAATAGTCAGCACTACAGCATCCCTATTCACAACAATCCGGTAAATTTGAGGAACCAAAGGGCCAAAGCCGAATCCCCACACCATCTGTCTTCCCAAAACCTGACATTTCTTCAACTTTGAACCTTGAACCGAATCCTTTTAGAAAATTCATCCCAACCTCTACGGATAAGTTTCCAAGAGCCCATACCCGCTGGGAATCTAGCCTCCGTAAATTGCCACCCACCATCACTCTCCCCGTAATGACAAGCGATGACACGCCTCCAAAGCTTAACATGACAACTTGGGACGTGCTGTTGGCTGTCAGGTACTCAAGCACCCCCATTCTGAGCCTGTCTTATCTTACGCAAAGCACATGTTGATTTGATGAAAAAAGTTATGGCCAGCCTTAGGAGTTATTTTGCATTGAAAGTTGTTACATTGGTTATAAGGCTTTACCATGGCATCACAGATGATGACGTGTCCCTTGCCAAAGGCTGACCTTGCATGGGGACGCCTGAGTTATTTATCCTTGTGAAAATTCCTCTACAAAATTTTGAAGTACTTCTCATCTTTATGTTCCGAAAATTTGGACTATAATTCAAATCCATCCAGTTACTTAAGGTGTGACAAGAGAGCATATCCAAGAGACAAGTTGACTATTGAGAAAACCTCTTGGGGGCCTTACATTTCAATAAAACAAAAATTGCATGATCACTTAAACGTACTAAAAATATCTTGTATATAGTTCTGATCATGGATTGTAATGCCTCTATCAAAATTCAATCTACAAATATAGGGGGGTGTGCTAGGTCCAAGAGTCCAAGATATTGCAGTTGTGGACTCTAATATACCTAAACTAGCATTCTCACAAGGACCATAGATGACAATTAAGGGTGCAACTTGGGCGGGCCGAGGGGTTAGCCCATGCCAAACCCAAGGTTTTAACACCTAAACCCCAACTCCCGAGAAACCCATGGCATCTCTATCCATGTTATACCGCACGGGTTTCTCAGGTTACCTAAAATTTTAATAAACTACCATTAAATAAGTATTACAAAAAATAAAATGTTAAAATATATAACTACATACGTTAAATAAATGGGTAAATTACACGGACCTCCTCTATGGTTTGTCATAATTACAGGGACCTCCCCTCTGGTTTGGGAATTTACACGGACCTCCCCTAAAAATGAAACTATCCTACACGGACCTCCTTTTCGTTACAGTCAACGCCAGTCAACGACGGATTCTGCTGATGTCATCCACTTAATTAAGTTAAATACCCATAGCACCCTTATCCCTACCATATATTGTTTCTCTCTCGTCTTCGTTCTCTCTCCTCTCTCTGCCTCCTACCAATGCAGGCCATGCCTTGGGTTGATGATTGGATTTGGAAAACTACTTGTCATTTGGGAGATGATGTTTTTACTATCAATGCTTGATGATACGAAGGTGGAAGATTGGAATTAAGGTGGCCATGTCTTGAATTGGTCGGGTTTGGATAAAGAATAAGGCAACTGGAATATTGGGGTTTGAGAGAGGAGAGAGAGTCACGACCTCGCCGTCGTTCTCCATGGTCATCGCCTAGTCTCTGTTCATCGCCAGAGTAGTCACTACGGCAGCCGAACACTCTGCTCACCGTTCTCCTCCTTTCTCTCTCTACCCCTCTCTATAATACTATATACACGTAGCAATCCACCCACCTGCCCACCACCGCCGTCTATTCACTCTCTCTCTCTACCCACCACCACCACCATTACCATCACCAATACCTACCACCACCAACAAGCCCAACAACGTTCACAAAAGCTAACCTAAAAACTGCAAGTATACGCCATTAATGGCCTCTCTACTCCCAATATGGCGGTGGTTTACTGGAATTTATTGCCGGATAAAATATTCTAGGTTTAGATTTAGGAACCTAGCCCGGCCACAACAGACTTAAAGTTTGACTGTATACCTTAAAATTCCAAATACTTTGGATCAGCTACACTGCTTTTTTCCTTTTTGTTTTTATCTTTTTTGTTATTCAAGTATAAGGTTGTCTTGTCCATTAAATTATAGGACATCTTGTATTTTTTCATAGTGACGTAAATTCATTTTTCCATTTATCATATAATGTGTACTAGATGCTATCCATTATATTAAAAACATATCTGCAGTTTCACTTCTACTCTTTTCTTGAATACATCATATATAAAAATCAATTCAATAATTGATCTTTTTTTTTTTTTTTTTTTTTTTTTTTTTTTGTTGAAAAGTAATAATTTATAAAAAGGCGTTCAAAAGGGGAACGCATCCCTCAAAAACAAAAGAAGGCCAAATAGGGCCTCTAAACCCTCATCAGATCCAAAAACTCTATAAGCTCATCCAAGGATTTACAATTTCTTCCTAGAACCCAACAAAAAAGGGTGCTAAGAATAGAGAATTTCAACGACCCAATATGATTTTCTTTTCCATCAAATGATCTCTTATTTCTTCAAGCCATAGACACCACCAGACGCACAAAGGAGTGACTTTCCAAGAGTCACGAGCTTGGGCCCCCACTATACAGCCTCTCCGAGCCTCAATCAAGCCTCTGGTAGACTGAGGCATAACCCAATGAATAACAAACCCAAAAATATAAGTCAGCAATCTCAGGCAACTGGGCAATGTAAAACAAGATGATCAACCGTTTTCTCGCCATTTTTGCACATGTAACACCAATCCATTACAATCTGTCTTCTTCTTTGGAGGTTGTCCTGGGTCAAGATCTTTCCGAAAACGGACATCCAAGGAAAAAAAGCAACTTTGAGAGGCACTCTTGTTCGCCAAACGGCCCTCCATGGAAATGATAATCCAGGAGCATACACCAATTGATCTTATGCTTTCTTTCAGAATTTGCAGCATTTGGTGATGATGAGAATGAGATTGGTCCACATTTAAAACTAAACTAGCTTCAATGTTTAGAATTTCAATTACTGTGACCGTCTTCTTTGCCTAAATGAATAGAACTCTCTCTCTTTCGGTCTCTTGATGCAAAGGCTCAAAAAGCACCATTACCATCACCAATACCCACCGCCGCCGCCACCAATACCATACCCCCCGCCACCAATATATTATTATTATGGGTCTAGATTTAATTTTGTGGATCTGTTGAATATTTTGGTATATGTCCATATTAATGGTGGTGGTTCACCGGTGGGTGGTGGTCGAGGTGTGGCGGCGGCGGTTTTGAAGATGGAGAGCAAGGAAATTTGCGTCTCATCACTGTTGTGGTGGTGGTTTGCCGGAATTTATTGTCGGATAGGATGGTGGTGGGTGGTGCATTTCCCTATATATATATATATATATATTCTAAAAGAATATGGGTAATTCAGTCATTTACTATACTAACTTTAGGGCATTTTAGAAAATTAAACACGTCCGTTAGTCCATTTGACAGTTCGTCACTAGGATGGGAGGTCCGTGTAAAATAGTTTCATTTTTAGGGGAGATCCGTGTAAATTCCCAAACCAGAGGGGAGGTCCTTGTAATTATAGCAAACCATAGGGTAGTTCTGTGTAATTTACCTTAAATAAAACCACTCATATCATGTGACAAAAAATAACCAAACCATGTGTAATATAATCTCATGGTAATAATTTATAGGTTGTAATAAAAGATATATCAACCATTTGATATTTCAAGATCGATAACATGTTTCAAAATTTTATATTCTTTATTATTTTGTTAATTTAACAAAAATTCAATTATTATAAATTTTGTCAAAGGTAGGTTAATACCTATACTGCTACAAATCATCTAATTTTAACTTCATTTTACATAAATAACATACAACATTAAAAGTATAAAATTTATAAACTTTTCTTGTATTTCGGGTTCCTCAATCCCGTACAAAATAAATTCGGGCTCTAAAGTTTAAACCCAATCCCATCCTATGGTCTCATGTACCTTATCCACGCCTCTAAAATTTTTGGGAGGGATTCGGGTTCCTGGAGTTAGTCCCCCTAATAACCTATAACCCTAATAACCGGACACAGAAAATTGTGTGAAGGGGATCAGCCTTTAACAACAAGGAGATAAAAATAATAAAATAATAAAACCATCATGATAAGCAGAATAATTCTGCGCCTGTGTATACCCCAAAAATAAAATAAAAACAATAGAAAAAACAGAAATTAAATATTCACAAATTGCATATAACAGAATAATTCTGCGCCTGTGCATTGTACACCAAAAATAATAATAATAATAACAACAACAACAATAATAACAAAACAGAAATATAATATTCAGAAATTGCATATGCAATGCTATTAGAAAAAAACAAATAGTGTACCTGGCAAAGGGCCTTAACTTCCAAATTCCAATTGATCCAAATAGCTGTGTGTAAAAAAATAAATAAATAAATTATGAGAAATTTCAACATTTAATTCGACTTAAATAAAACTTATTGAAATTTTTTGAACCTAAGTATAGATAATCTTACACCTTCAATGAAGCTTTTGTTGAAGAGAAATGTTGAAACAAGCTAGACCTTAGTTTCAGAGCCAAAGATTAGGAAAATTAGGGTTTTGATCACCAACTATTCAAGTTAAAAACTAGGGTTCTTGTAGCAAGTGTGTGTCGTGTGTGAGAGAGAGAGACGTGGATGACTGGATGGGGATGGGGATGGGGGCTGGTCGCGATGGGGAGAAGAACTGCTGTTTCCAGAAGCCATAGAGTATATATATTCGTTCTCGTTCGATAGTGGGGTTTTTTTGTCATTATTTCAGCCTGGCCTCTTCATAAATTTTCAAAAAATATTGCATATATTGCCCAAAAAAAAATCATAATTTCGGTGGGGATGCCCACTGAGCCCATTAAGGCACTATAGCTTGTTTGGATTGATTTTTCAAATTTTACTTTTGACTTTTTGAATTTGAAAGTTATTTTGAATAGTATTTGGGAGCTTTTAAATTTTGGAGGACCGTTTTAGATAAATTGGTACCCCTTTTCCAAATACGGGAGGAGTTTTGGTATTTTAGTGGACCTTTTTAAAATAACAAACATATTATTTTTATTACCAAATAAAAAATATAATTACAAGCGTATCCCGGTAAAAATCCGTTCAATTTTCTTTCCAAACCCTAGTGCTACACGGAATAGAATCCACTCCTGTGCTATAGGAGAACTTGTGCCATCCGGTGACTTAAAATGGTAAAGGTTAAAAATTATAAAAACAAAACTTTTGTATATACAAACACACATACATACAAGATCCTTTGGGATGTACGTTAGGAACATGTTGGGATGCTGGTAAAGAGAAAGTTCGAATGTATGTTAGGAAAATGTTGTGAAGCAAGACCAACGTTCCAATATTTTCCAAACATTTATCCCTAACAAGAGAAAGAGATGAATAGTGGGATGCTGGTAAGGAGAAAGTTACATTGCACGTTAGGAAAATGTTACGATGCAAGGCCAACATCCCAATATTTTTTTAATATGTATCCCAAACAAGATAAAGAGATGAATAGTGGAATGCTGGTAAGGAGAAAGTTGTCATGTACATTAGGAAAATATTGTGATGCAAGGCCAACATTCCAACATTTTCCTAACATGTATCCAAAACAAGATAAAGAGATGAATAGTGGGATGTTGGTAAGGAGAAAGTTGGGATGTAGGCTACGAAAATGTTGTAATATACAGTTTGTACCAGGATATGTTTATTTATGTATTTGTATAATAAGTGGGATGTTAGTAAGGAGAAAGTTGGGATGTAGGTAAGGAAAAAATTGAAATGTACAGTTTGTACCAAGATATGTTTATTTATGCATTTGTATAATAAGTAACTTACTGCGGTGAATTTTTTTCTAATTTGTTTGGGCAGCGACATGGCTCAACAAGAGCCAAGCAATGTTCACTGGCTCGGACAGGATGAACGTGGCGCTGGAGAGGATTTTGATCCAGTGCTACACAACTCGCCTTTGTGTTTCCTTCATACTCAAAAGATTAATATGATTGAACACTCAACCCGAGGAAAACCTAGAGCAATATATATATATATATATATATATATATATATATATAATTGAGGCATACTTCGGTGGCTGCTAATAAACAATAAGGTGGCTGCTTCAATGTACCACCTAAATACAATTTTTGTAGTATGTTTGTACATGGATTGAAAAATAGTTGATTTAAGCATTTGAAACTATTCTATTTTCATTTTTAGGTATTTTTTTTTTTCCAAAGTTGATAAAATAAAGTTTTTGGCCCTTCCTATGAAAGTAGACAATAGCCATTTGTGTTGGCTCTAATAAATCAATTTAGGATAGGGTGAAGTGCAAAAAAAACTCTATAGTTTTAATTTAGTGCAAATAACATCTCTCGTCTTTAAATTTCACCCATGTAGTACGTAAAGTGAGCAAATAAGAGTTTATTGTCAAGTAAATAAAGTGAAAAAAGCAAAAAGACTAAAAGCCCTTCATTCCACTTATAACAAAAATAATTAAAAAAGCATAAAAGACGAAATTACCTCAAAGGACGTGTGGAATACGATACCATTTATTTTAGCCCAACAAATTCAATCATCTTTGTGCCATCTCACCATCATTTCTCACCCCTTGGGTTCATGCAACTGCTGGCACGATCATGACACAAGCGAGCACGGGGGCGATAAAACCAAGTTTCAAAATACGGGTTCATGATTTGAATGTTAACATAGTTGAAAGCAAAACAATGCTTCAATCCATGAGAAATAGAAAAACCCAAACCGAGTAGTTCATGGAAGAACTGAGAGCATCTTTATGCGAAGACTGTTTTTGAATTATTTTAATTTGATGATTGATTCATCAAGAGAAAAAAAATGATGAAAATTTTAGTGTTTTGTTCGAAAGAAAATGACATGGTCCGTTGAAATAGTCCGAGAGCTCCAGTATATACTAATGTCAAGACCAGTGATAGTCTGAAGCTTTATCAATATGAAACCCAGCGAGAGATTGAAGCCCATCAATGTGAAGAGAATTTGTGCTCAATTTGTTTAGGTATAGTTTTGTTGTTGGTAAAATATGATCACAAGTAATAGACATTAGAAAGTAAAGAGAAAATAAATGAAAAGGTCAGTAAAGATTTCATATATTTTATGTTTTATCATATCCTTTCTCTCTCTTTTCCTCTCATCAAGGGTGAGACCAAAGTGAGAAGAGCTTAGGGATTGACTTTACCGCTAGCCTCGTAACATGGTCAATTGCTTCAACTATAGAGAAATTCACGGATATGTATATTCGAGAATCAAGTGGCTACAAGCGTACTTTAATTCAATTAAGAAGATATATATGAATAAACAGTAAGCCATAATTCATCTTTAGTTGACACGAATTGTCTACCTATCTATTTTAATTTACCATGTAGTACAACTCGTCTTCCCTAGACATAGATTATCAAAAAATTCATTTATATAGTCGTTTAAGCACCATTGCATAACAACCTCTTCTACCATTAAGAGAAGCTCTTAGCCGCCTATCTCTTACAATAGAAGGGTTTGAATTCAATTAAAATAAGATTAATTATAAGACAAGAGATTAAATTTATAAAAAATTATTATAATCATTAAAACCCAATTGCTTAGTACAATTAAGTCAATTGCTCAAAACCATATAATTGATATACATATAAAAATTCCCAAAGTTAAGAACAGTCAAACCATGCTACTCAGACTAAGGTTACATCAATTCCATAAGGAATGCCTTAGCTACTCATAGAGAGGAAGAATATTAGCATTATTAGTGTAGAAGTCATCTCCATGAACCGCCAATTGGAATCTTCAATCTTTAAAATCCTAAAAGCCGCTACAAGGTAAGAGAACCAAGAGAAAGCTTTAATGTATCCTCTCGTCTTCTTTTATAATGGAGAACAAGTCATAATCCCCTTTGGATGGGCTTTACAACTTTAAGGGACAATTGGTGTGATACCCCCCAATTCCGGAACACGGGTTGATTAGGTCCGCACACGAGACCGGAGGATATCATAACAATTGATAATAAACGAACACAGAATACAATAAGAAATAAATAAAGAATAAATAAAATGCGAAAAAAAAAAAACTAAAATGATATTCTAATAATTAAATCCTCAAAATAAACTCCAATAAATAATAAACTCCTCTGATACTATTAATCCTCCAAAATACAACTCGGGAATCCATACTATGTGGACCCCAAATAAAATCCTAACTGAAATAACAATAATAACTGTCTAAGTATGAATACTGAAAATAAAGATAGAACCATACGTAAATGACTGGAAAAGTGATGATAACTGGTCTCTGCTTTGCACAAATAAGATATACACCTAGCACTGATGATGATCTGAAAAATAAATAGTGGGTCAAGTCCACGAACAAGTCTTTTGCTATTACATCCCAAACAGAAACCCGGTAAACAAATACATCCCAGTCAAACTCGTGTAATAAGTATATAGTCGATATATATAACATATACACTAAATACTCTCACTGGACTATAAGGCAGACTCAACCGGATAGTAGGCATCATACAAAGCGCACACGAAGTGGTCATTAGTACCATCATCTACCAGGGCATACACGTAATAGCCCTATATTTTAAATGAATTATTTATTGAGTTAATGGTTTTATTTTAGGGCTAAAATCATAAAAACCCCCTGTTGTTTCTAAAAATTATCAACTAATCCCCCAACTAAAGAAACTATCATATTACTCCTTAATGTTTTAAAAGCCTATCATATCGCCCCATCACGTTAGCTTCCCATTTAAAACTAACCGAAAAAAACACCTAACAGCCACGTGCATCATTTTGCACTTTAATCTGACAAAACTACTGTAACACTCCCACATTTTTCACGCATAAGTTGATCAGGCTTATACACGAAAAACGAGGGATATCAAAAACAATTGGCAATATACAAGCATGGAATACAAAATGATGATAATAAAAGAATTTAGACAAGAAAGGAACACTAAATAATACAACATCCATCCATCCTTTATTTAATACAGTACTTCATTACAACTTGGAAATCCTATGTCAAGGATCCCTAAATATAACCCTGAGAGTTCAACGTCAAAAGTAAATAAAAACTGAAACTGAAGTAATACATAAAACTTCTACCCTGAACTGAATCGTAAGAGTAGATGAGTTCGGATGGTGGTCCCACACTGCTAACCTCAACCTTGGAACGGGTACTGACCGTATCCTGAAATAACAACAATGGTGGGTCAACCCCACGAGCAAGTCCTCTCTACTATGACCCAAATCAGAGAATCAAATAAATTAATCATTATAAATCGGTTGAGTACTATATCTGTATACATCCTAAGGGAACTATCCCATGTATAACATGACCTCAACCAGAATAGACGGTGATCACTTAGACTCACACTAGGTGGTTAAGTGTCGCCTTTCCCTACCCGGGAAATCAGCTATTATACATGGTGCACAGTACTGACAACACAGACTATAACGAACTACACAGTGATAACACATCTCAAAGTACTGATGAATATACTGAGCATATCAATTAGGCAACACATGCCAACAATATTAATAAATATACCGAGTATGTCAATTAGGCAACACATGCCAATAATATTAAACCACATACCCCGACAGCCACACATCTGTCTATAGCAACGAATGCATAAGGTATAAATGAGTCTAAACTTATTAGCCAGCTCATATGGTTCTATATGGCAACACATCCATATAATATAAATGCGACATA